CACACTCTCTGAAAAATCAAGACCATCATAACACTGGCTACAAAAAGTGTCTGTGGAAGTAAATTTAACCAAGACACTGAAAGATGTCTACATTAAGAGCCAACGAACACTGAGGTAAGAAATTAAAGGTTGGGCCACAGTTGCTCACTCCTGTAATTTCAGCATTTTGGGAGGCTAAGGCAGGAGAATCACTAGAACCCAGAGTTCAAGACTAGCCTGGGCAACAGAGAGATCTCATCTGTACAAAATTTTAAAAGTTAGCCAGGCATGGTGGTGTGCAGCTGAGGTCCCAGCTACTCAGAAGGCTGAGGTGGGAGGATTGCTTGAGGCTGACAGAGCAAGACCCTTTCTGAAATAAAGAAATTAAGTGACACACAAATAGAAAGATATTCTTTATTCACAAATTGGTGGAATTAATATTTTTAAAATGTTTATATTACACAAAGTGATCTACAGGTTTAATACAATCTCTACCAAGATACCAATTACATTCTTCACATACAAAAGGAATCCCCCAATTCATCTGGTAACACAAAAAAAACAAAAAGATCCTCAATAGTCAAAATAATTGAGAAAAAACAAGCAAAGCTGAAGGCATCACAGAACCTGCCTTTGAAATATATTACAAAGCCATAATAAGTAAAACTTTATGATACTGGTATAAAAACAGACACATAGGCCAAAAGAGCAGAATAGAGAGCCTAGAAATAAATCCACACATTTACAGCTAACTGATTTTAGACAACGGTGACAAGAACATAAAATGGTTAAAGAATAGTCTCTTCGATACTTGGCGTTGGGGAAAAAATGGACATCTACAGCAAAAATGAGAAATGAGGCCCTCATCTCACACCACATGTAAGAAACAACTCAAAAGGAAGACTTAAATGTAATAGCTGAAAGTCTGAAACTACTACAAGACAACATAAGGTAAAAGAAAATATGATATTGGTTTGGGCAATTATTTTTTGAATTTAACCTCAAAATGCCAGGAAACATAAGTAAATGTAAACAAATGAGATTACTTCAAACTAAAAAACTTCTGCACAGGACCACATACAATCAATGGAATGATAACCTAGGAAGGGGGGAAACACTTTTAAATTATGAATCTGACAGGGGGTTAATATTCAAAATATTTAAGAGACAAAAATGAGGGGAAAACTTAAATAGGCATTTCTCAAAAGACATACATCATATAACAAATAAATTTGAAAATGCTAAGCATCAATAATTATCCAGGAAAGGCAACTCAGAGCCACCGTGAGATATTAACTCATTCCTTCTAGAATGACAATTAACAAAAAGGCAAAAGATACCCAGCGTGGATAAAGCTGTAAGAAAGAGAAGGCTTGCACACTGTTGGTGGAATGGACATCTGTGCAGCCATTCCGGAAAACAGAATGAAGATTTCAAAAAAATTAAAAATGGAACGACTGCTTGTTACAGCAATCACAGCACTGGTGATCTAGATATCTGAATGGCATCAGTGTGCTGAAGAGACATTTGCACGCCCATGTTGACTGTGGCACTACTTACTACAGCCATGATATAAAATCACCCCAACTGTACTCGAATCATGAACCCTGTGGCTACTCCTGCCATTGCCAATCACATGGATGAACCTGAAACACATGATGTTAATTTACAGAAACCAAACACAGAAAGAAATATACCACATGCTGTCTCTCATAGGTGACATCTAAACAAGTTCACCTGTTGAAGTAGAGAGTAGAATTACGGTTACCAGAGGTGGGTTTTTTTTCAGGAGGGCAGATGGTTTGGGTCGATGACGGTCGAATAAGACATAATTACAGTGAGATACGAATGAATTTAAGACATCTATTGTACAGCATGCTGACTATATTTAATTAGGATATATTGTGTTTCTCAAAATGTGAAGAGTCCAATGTTTAGTTCTCACCACATGACTACATGATAAGGTATACAATAACTAAAGCATTGGACACATATATACTTTAAAACCTATTTTACATGATAAACATTATAAAATGCTAGCAATGTTCCAAATACTGAATCTCCTTCTTAGTCATAAGCTTAGCTAAACAGTATTAAAAAGTAGTATTTGTTGAGTATTTTTTTTTTTTTTCTGAGATAGGGTCTTGGTCTCATGCCCAAGCTGGAGTGCACTGGTGCGATTTCGGCTCACTGTGCCTCCGTCTCCTGCGATCACGTGATTCTCATGCCTCGGCCTCTGGAATAGCTGGAATTACAGGCGCACAACACCATGTTCAGCTAATTTTTGTATTTTAGTAGAGATGCGGTTACACCATGTTGGTGAGGCTGGTCTCGAACTCCTGACCTCAAGTGATTCATCGACCTCAGACTACCAAAGTGCTGAGATTACAAGCATGAGCCATCGCGCCTGGCCTTGTAAAGTGTTTGTTCTACCATTTGCCAGCCATAAGCATAGAAACTCTTGTTATTTTTACAGCACATGCAGGACCCAGCACAGAACACAGGAAAGAACAGGTGCCTTTAACCCAAAGGCTCCTAGGGTTTCTGGTCCTCACGTGGACAGAATGGAAAACAGTAAAGACACAGGTGGGATTAACAGTCCCAGCACTAGCTACGCTGGGAACGCAGAAAACAGATTTACATTCCAAATCACAGAGAAATATTCACATTCAGAAGCTGTCATGTCCCCAGAGATTTATCTACAAAGAATGGCCAACAAGTTACAACCAGTTAGTAACTAAGAATGAGGACTATCAACTGTGGACTACACAGATTACAACACAGGAAAATATTATGACATGAAACTGAAAAATTCTCCATGATTCCAGTATCAATCTGGAAAGATCATTCAACATTTTATTTTTTATTTTTGAGACAGTCTTGCTCTGTTGCCCAGGCTGGAGTGCAGTGGTGCTATCTCAGCTCAGTGCAACCTCCACCTCCCAGGTTCAAGCGATTCTCCTGCCTCACCCTTATAGTGCTTACCACATACACCTACTGGTATTAACGACCTTTTTTTTTTTTTTTTTTTTTTTTGAGACAGAGTCTTGCTCCGTCGCCAGGCACCAGGCTGGTGTGCAGTGGCGCAGTCTTGGCTCACTGCAACCTCTGTCTCCCGGATTCAAGCAATTCTCCTGCCTCGGCCTCACAAGTAGCTGGGACTACAGGTGCGCGCCACCACGCCCAGCTAATTTTTGTATTTTTTAGTAGAGACAGGGTTTCACCATGTTGGCCAGGATGGTCTTGATCTCTTGACCTCGTGATCCGCCGAATACCATCTACCTTTTACAAATAAATGCAGACAATGCTGCCTGATCACATCTTCTGGCTGGCAGACAGTGCACACCTCTTGTCCCAATTGAGTGATCCAAATGTTGTATTCATAGCGATAAATGGCCTCAAACACTCCAGTTAAGAGTAATTTCTCACATTAGAAAATTCCAAACTTCTCTCAGAACCTGCAAAGACTATGTGGCGTGACAGGCAGGGAAAACAGTGAGCAAGTTATAGCCGTAAGACAGGCAGCGAGGACTGTGATGCAAAGCACACTTAGCGTGGACAAAAAGAGGCGGCAGAAAACCGCAGATTGTTAGAAAAGCAAGCAGGCAGAATTCTGCTTCATAAGCTTGGAGAAAGCCTGTTGCGTATCCTGGGAATAGATGTCCTCTCTACACATGCAAACTAATACCATTTCTTCACCATGGATGCTTTCAGTCTCCAAGCTGGAGACACAAACGCACTTCAGCAGAATGATTCACTCCTAATCATGAAGTGTGTTATTCGCCTAGCACTGTGCTTGTTCACTTCCTTTATATATTAAGACAACCCAATAACTTATTTCGCATCCCCAGTGTTTACCTGAACAAACTGGCCCAATAAAGGAAATAAACTCAACTATGTTAATTAGAAAAAGCAAAAGAACAAAGAAAAACTGGCTTAAATTGGGTTCTCTAACTGAAAGAAAAAAGTACTAATTAAATGAAATGTAACAATACACTCATTGTGAAGCTACTCACATCTGCAATTATTTGGGAAGCACCACAAAGTTTTATGGAAATTCTTCTTCGCACCCCTGGCAGGTGATGGAAATCATGCTGCGTGAACAATGGGATGGGAACATTATATGGCAGGTCCACATGAATAACAGGCAGTAAAAACAGAGGATTTGCATGAGGAGACTCCGGACCAGGAGCCAGAATACTTTACAGAAATCCAATACAGAGGAGACAATATAGATGTCTTTCTAAATCTTTGAGGTTTATAACTTTCTCGTAAACTATCAAGACTATTATGTTTTAATCCCATCTTATTTTGTGTTTATCTTCAAAAATTGGTACACACTCACCCTCTTACACACAGTTACCTGCTCAATAATTTTCTTAAACCTAAAATTTATTTATTATTTTTTTTGAGACAACAGCACACTTTGCTGCCCTGGCTGGAGTGCAGTGGTGTGATCACAGCTCACTGCGGTCTTCATCTCCCAGGCTCACACGGTCCCTCCACCTCAGCCTCCTGAGTAGCTGGAACTGAAAGTGTGCATCACTACTCCCAGCTGATTTTTTAAAAATCTAGAGTAGAAACAAGGTCTTGGTAAGCTGCCCAGGTGGGTCCCAAACTTTTCAGCTCAAGTGATCCTCCCAGATGGCCTCCCAAAGTGCTGGGATTACAGACATGAGCCACCATGCCCAGGCCAGTTTGTCTTTATAGTAATATAGTTGTATATTTAAGTCCATGCAAATCAAAACTAAATCTATGTGTTTTGCAGGCCACAGAAGCTGTACATCCAACAAAAACTATAGAAAAAAAATTTTTAAAGAATGAGAAATATATGTATTTTATTTCTACTCCTCTATAATCTTTATGATAGCAATAATAGTGACTCTAGTTACAAAAAGAGGGAAAGAATTTTTTTTTTTAAATCACTGGGAATAGAGATCACTGGAGATGTTATCCACCATGCCACCTGGGAGGATACTGTTACCATCTGTTACCGACACCTTTGACTATGATGGAATTGGTTTTTGGTAGAATGACACTTTATTCCATGAACATCAGGCTTAACACAATTGTGTTTAATTAAAAACAAATTAACTTCGCACAGAATCTTTAAAAAGACTTCAAAATTTATGGTATGTTGCCTTAATGAAATACGGGTAAAACTATTTACAAAATTCAAAATAGTTCCTTCTTCCTATAGTGCAGAAGGGTATTACTCTAAACACCTATCTCATAAATCACTTACAAGTATATAAAACAACCACAAAGACCCTCTCTACCAAGATTTTACGCACGCATCTTACATTTCAGTGTCTTTCACCTTTCATGGACAAGTATATCAACCGTGCATGCCTGCCACAAAAGGACTTGGGCATGTGTTTTCACACCAGCACTAGAAATGAAGACAGCATCAACTGATGAGTTGAATAACATCAATATTCGCTTTTCAAAAAATTTAACGGTTTTTCAATCCAAAAAAGTGTATTTTGAATGTAATTAAAACTACAAAAATTGTCTCACCCTCCTTTTAAATATAAACGACGGGTCTATTTCAAGTCTAGATTGCTCTGTAGACATGATGCTGTGATTCAGTGTCATTTCTGAAAGTGCGGTGCCCTATTCCTTTGTCTTTCTAATCCTCCAATGTTTACTTAAATTTGATTTTGCTTATTTTTCCCATTAACTGCATTTGAAAAATATCTTTTAGTATGAACTCTGTTTTCTAAGCTATCGTTTTTGAATATTATTCCACATTTATGACATTTGTAGGGTTTCTCTACAAATTCTCTTAAAGTTTAATCAACTAATGCAAGGTTTCCATCTAGCATAAAATATAACCTTTTTTTTCAGAAGAAAAACTCGTGTGCGCTCTGGAGACTTGTATTTCATGAAAGGGCTTTCAACAGTCATTACATTTATAATAACTTTATTAGGTTATTAAGAAATTATTATTAAAAACTCTGATGTAAAGATGTGACCAGATCCTAAAGGCTTTGCCTATTTTTAAATATTTTTTCTCAGGTATGAATGCTTTCATGTACAGTCAGGTGTGAGAACTGGGTAAAGGCTTTGCCACATTTTTCACACTTGTAGGGTTTCTCTCCAGTATGAATTCTCTTATGTACAATGAGGTTGGAGGACTGGGTAAAGTTCTTTCCACATTCTTGACATTTGTAGGGTTTCTCTCCAGTATGGGTTTTCTTGTGTTTGGTAATGTCTGAGAACCACATAAAGACTTTGCCACATTCTTCACATTTGTAGGGTTTCTCTCCAGTATGAATTCTCTGATGTACAATAAGGTTGGAGGACTGGGTGAAGTTTTTTCCACATTCTTCACATCTGTAGGGTTTCTCTCCAGTATGGGTTTTCTTATGTTTAGTGAGGTCTGATGACTGCTTAAAGATGTTGCCACATTCTTCACACGTGTAGGGTTTTTCTTCAGAATGAGTTCTCTTATGATTAGACAGGCTGGAGCAAGTTCTGAAGACTTTCCCACATTCTTCACATTGGTAGGGCTTCTCTCCAGTGTGAATCCTCCTGTGTTCACTGAGGTGTGAGGACTGGGTGTAGGCTTTGCCACATTCCTCACACTTGTATGGTTTCTCACCAGTGTGAATTCTCTTATGTTTAGTAAGGTCTGAGAACCACCTGAAGATGCTGTCACATTCCTCACATTTGAAAGGTTTCCCTCCAATCTCATTTCTCTGATGTTTGGAAAGATTTGGGTTGTGGTTAAAAGCTTTGTACCATGTTTCACATTTGGAGAGTTTCTCTCCAGCAAGAAGCATCTGCTGATTAGAAAGGCTGGAGCAGGAGATAAAAACAGTGCTGTACTCTTCATACTTGTAGGGTTTCCCCTCAGGACCACGCTCATGTTCAGTCAGGTGGGAGCACTGGTTAAATACTTTGCCAAATTCTTGACATGTGTAATGTTCCCCTCCAGTGTAAATTCTGTTTTTAGTAAGGACTGAGCACGGTTTAACAACTTCATCACAATCTTTACACGTGTAAGGTTTCTCTCCAGTGTCAGTGTTCTCATGTCCTATAAAGTGTGAGCACTGGTTAAAGGTTTTGCCACATTCTCTACATTTTTGGAACTTTCTTCCAGTGTGAATTTTCTGATGTTCGGTTAGGAATGAGAACATTTCAAACGATTTGCCACATTCTTGACATTTGAAAGGTTTCTGTCCAGTATGAGTTATATTGTATCTATGTAAATTTGAAAAATTATTAAAGATTTTAACACACTGATTACATTCAAAGATGTTGCTATGGGTAGTTGATGAACACTGGTTAAGTCCATTACAATGTTTTTGCAACTTACACTCATCTAAATTTCCCCAGTCTTTCCTTAAATGTAAATTATCAAGGCCACAATTTCCATATGCTTCCAGTATTGATTTTGGGAATGCATCTTGTATGCTCTGCTCTGGCAGAAGGTCTTGGGTAAAATGAGAGGACATAGCTGAAATAAATAAATAAATAAGTTACCCCACTTACTAGACACAGATGAAGACACTTTATCAGTCTAATCTATAAAATAATACTGAGTATATCAGCAAAATGGCACAAAATACCACAGGCCCTAATTTCTTTACAAACATATAAACGTAACAGTTAACTAGTGAGAAAAAGCATCTGAACTCTAAGAACCACTTCAGAGTCTGCGGCACAGCAGGTCAGCACAAAGCAAAGAGCCACATAAGAAGAAGAAAAAAGAACTTTGTTAGGTTCCCCCCCGCGGCCCCTGCTCCTCCGCAGTAAGCATAATGCCTTTAAGAGTAAACCCCCAACTCCTGGCTTCTTCCAAAGAGAAAGAAAATACTGGCACAGGTGTTTTCACTTTTGGCCTTTTCAAGCTTTGGCAAAGACCGGTTTCTGCCCCTCATGAGATGGAGTGCTGAAAGAAATGGGGGTCCTCTGAGTGACAGGCTGGGCCTGCTGAGACCAAGAGGAAGTCCCTGTGACAGCTGCAGCACCAGCAGCAACAGGTGGACCAGGTGACCACAGGCCACTAAGAAGGAACCCGAGAAACCCTCTTTCACCGAAAAGCACACACGCAGCTCCACATGAGACACACCCTCAGCACGCGCTTAAGAGGCTGCTGGAATCTGGGCCCATTTGTTCTGGACTTCCACCCCGGCAGAAAGCCACATGATAGAGGCTGTGGCAGGAGGCTTCTTGTTAATGCCGGAATCTCGGCCAAAGAGTGTATTTACAAAGTATTAGGGTAATGCGGTGCAATCAAAGAAAGAAAAAAAGGTCAGAAGTCAACTCTAAAACAATGGAGATGCATAAATTAACTGAAAAAATAAAATTATCATTTGAATAATGCTCGATGAGTGAAAATGGGAAAACACAAAACTAAGTAGAATTAGGAAAATGAGGATACCAAGAAAAAGATACAAAGCATAAAAAACAGATTGAGAAACTGAAGGTATGAAAGGAAATAATTACTGAGAAATTCTCAAAAGTGTGAAAAAAATATTAAAAAATCAAGAAGCTAAACACATCAACTAGCATAAACAAGAAGGGACATAAGGCACAATATAAGCAGTTTCAAAAGTCACAGAGGAGAAAGGAATCTTGAAAGCAGCAAGTGAAAAGCCATGTGTCATTTATCAGCATGCTCTCATGAGATTACCAGTGAGTTTGTCCACAGAATCCTCAAAGCCAGGCTGGGCGTGGCAGCTCACACCTGTAATCCCAGCACTTTGGGAGGCTGAGGCAGGCAGATCGCGTGAGCCCAGGACTTCGAGAGAGGCCTGGGTAGCATGGTGAAATCCCATCTCTACAAAAAATACAAAAATATTAGTCATGCGTGGTGTTGAACTTGTAGTCCCAGCTCCTCACAAGGCTGACGAGGGAGAGTCACCTGAGGCTGGGAAGTTGAGGCTGCAGTGAGCCATGATCACACCACCGCACTCCAGCCTGAGTGACAGAGTAATGTAACCGGGTTTCTGGGGTGCCGGTGAGGCAGAGCGCCCCTGAGAGAATGTTGTAGGTTCTTGGTCTCCGCCCTCTCAGGAATGAGAGAGGGGAGAACAGCAGGTGGGCGGTAAGCTTGTAAATACCGAACCCAAGAAGTGTTGCAGGAAGGTGATTTTATTTAGGTAGAGAAAAGAGGGGAAGAAAAGAAGGAGAGATAAAAACTTCCACGAAAAGTGTGGAAGGGGACTCCACAGGGGAAATCCAGGGTAGAGAAAAACAGCTTCCAAGAGAGTGTTCGTGGAAGGAGATCCAAATATGGAGTCCAAAGGGGTGTGGAAGAAGGGACTTTTACCTGGGAGGAACCCCTCACCTTCTCTAAGACCCCAGGCCAATGAAAGGAGTTCCTTAGAACTTCCACTGGAGTGATAGACTTTGATTCTTCCCCGCCCGCAGGAACCATTAAATCTCCCGGATGGAGAGAGATGGGAGGGGGCCACAGCGCTGGGAAGCTCTTCCCCTTAAAATTACACCCCCTCATGGACCCGGTAAGAGAATACATTCCCTCAGTAAGACCCTGTCTCAAAAAAGGGACAGCTTTGAAGCAAGAAGGGAACTGGATGAGATCACCTAATTGCTGAAAAGAAAACTTCCAAGCAAGAATAATATATATAACCAGTGTCTCACAAAGTAATAAAAAACAGACTTTCTAAGATAACCAAGGGCTACAATGTCAAACAAGAAATGGAAAAAGGAACCCTTCCCACTGAAAATAAGGCGATGCTAGGAAATAATATACAATTACGTCAAAATACATAAATATATGAAAAAGATACGCATGTACAGGAAAATAAAATTCTGTGGTACTATAACAATGGCGCAGAAATCACTTTTAATTATCTGTAATTGGAAAGATGACAGTAGAAAAATAATCATAAATATCTGTTAATGGATACACAACATTAAATGATTTAGTGATATCAGTAACAAAGTTGAGGACAGATTTAATAAGAAAGAATTTTTGTAGCGCCTGTGGTCCCAGCTACTCAGGAGGCTGAGGCAGGAGAATCGCTTGAACCCAGGAGGTAGAGGTTGCAGTGAGCTGAGATTGTGCCACTGCACTCCAGCCTGGCGAAAGAGAGAGACTCTGTCTCAGAAAACAAAAACAAAACAAAATTTTTATATACAACTAAAGTATTTACCAGTATAAAATGTCTTCTTATAACGGTAATATGTTTAATATAATTTCCATAATAATTGCAAGAAAATATTCTGCTAAGAAAATATCTACACACAAAAGAAAATTAAAAAGGAGTCAAAGCTTATTATACAAAGTACAAGACACAAAAGAGAGAGAAGGAAAAAGCTACAAGAATCGAGGAAAGAGGTACAATGACTAAAGAGCATTTTTCATTTCAGTAAACTGTTTACTTAGGGTCAGTTAATCAAAAGGCATATGTTAAATAATTTAAAACCAAACCAAGACCAAACTACAGCTAATCTACAAGAGACTCACTTGAGATCTAACGACAAAAAGACTGAAAGTGGCAAGCTGGAAATGCACATTTCATGCAAATGTTAATGAAATGAGAGCAGAAGAGGTTACAACTACATGATGCAAAATACATCTTAAGTTAAAAACAGTCATACTTCATAAAACATACTTTAAGTTAGAACTCACAAAAAACAAGAACATAAAACAATGAAAAAAGGACAATACGCTGGGACCTATGACAAGCGTGTGTATATTCATGTGGATATCTGGGTGTTGACGTAGCCTCGTATTATATTGCTATTTCCGGCTTCAATTCTGCAAGTTCTTTATAAACAAATAATTACAGCATCAACAGTAGCATACTTCTACAACCCACTTTCAATAATGAATCATAAAGCAAGCCTTAATAATTTTATGGAGGACTTGAAAGCACTACCAAATAATGACACCTCACAGACACAGAGAGAACACGCCACACAACACCAGCGGGAGGCACACTCTTCCCAAGAGCTCAGAAAACATCCAGGATAGACTACCTGGACAAAACAAGTCTTAGCAAATTTCAAAAAAACTGAAGTCTTCCGCATTATTATGTATGACCAAAATGAAAAGAAACTGGAAATAACAAAGAAAAACAAAAAAAATTCACAAACACATGGCAATTAAACAACATATTTGAGCATGCTCTTGTTCAAGGGTTGAAATACTTAACATTGCAAAGATGGTCACACCATCCAATGCAATCTACAAACTCCATGCAATCTCTTTCAAATTTCTAATCCGATTCTTGGCATAAATAAAAGCAACAGCCCTAACAATCATAAGACATCTCAAGGGACCATAAAGCACCCAACAATTTTCAAAAAGAGGAACAATGCTGGAGGTATCACACTGCCTGATTTCAAAACACATTACAAGGCGACTGTAATTAAAACAGTTTGGTACTGGTACAAAGACATACAAATAAACCAATTAAACAGAATTGTAGCACAGATTTAAAAATGAAACACAGAGAAATAAAACTGTAAAACAGGCCGGGCGCGGTGGCTCAAGCCTGTAATCCCAGCACTTTGGGAGGCCGAGGCGGGTGGATCATGAGGTCAAGAGATCGAGACCATCCTGGTCAACATGGTGAAACCCCGTCTCTACTAAAAAAAATACAAAAAAAAATTAGCTGGGCATGGTGGCGCGTGCCTGTAATCCCAGCTACTCAGGAGGCTGAGGCAGGAGAATTGCCTGAACCCAGGAGACGGAGGTTGCGGTGAGCCGAGATCGCGCCATTGCACTCCAGCCTGGGTAACAAGAGCGAAACTCCGTCTCAAAAAAAAAAACAAAACAAAACAAAAAAAACTGTAAAACAAATATAACAGCTAAAATACGGAATTTATTGAATATCATGACCTAAACCAATATATTCATGAAAGAAGTCGTAGAAAAAATATATAGCAGAAAAGCAGTACAGGCATTATTTCAAGAAAAACATGCTGTTAACTTTCCAAATTTCAGTAAGATAAAAATATTACTAACCAAGAACACTTGATCTAGAATAATTTTACTTCAAAAGAACAAGGGAAAAATAAAGACTTTCCAAAATAAATAAAAAGACGAGGGCATTCACTGCCACTAGTACAGTTCCACAAGAAATGCGAAAGGTTGGGTGGGCACGGTGGCTCATGCCCGTAATACCAGCTTTGGGTGGGCCAAGGCAGGAGGATTGCTTGGGGTCAGGGGTTAGGAATTAGCCTGGCCAACATAGCAAGACCCCATTTCTATAATATATAAAAAAAACTACTGAAAAGACTCCATTATGTTAAAAATACAGTGACGCCAGACAGCATTATAAAACCATCTGAAAATATAAACGTCTCTGTTAAAGGTGGATACGTAAGCAGATACTAGTACTTTACTCTAATATGATGGTGTAAAAACTCAGGATGCTACTATATCTGAAAAAATATCTGCATATATCTTTGCTACCACACACAAAATATATAATGATTTGTTACGTTAATAGCACACTGGAGGGTGTAAAGAGTTAGTTTTTGTATTCAATGAAGCTGTGAGATTAAAATCTGTATTTATAACTTTAAGGTGTTTTATGTACTTTCCCTTTTTCAAGGTGATCACAAAGAAAATACCTTTACAAGGTCTGCAAAACAAAACGAGCACAAAATGAAAGGACGTTCAAACAAAACGCAACCAACGATGAAGACGGTCAAAGAGGAAAGGACAACATGCCGACAAACACAGACGACAATAGTCAGGATGGCGGCAGGAACTTCGTTTCCTTCAGGCGCTATTTTAAACATGAATTAACCTACTTAATGAACAGAAATGAAATAGCTGAGCCGATTAAGAACATATGCTATCTACGAAAGACTCTAGCCTTAAATAGTAAAATAGGCTGAAAGAATTAAAAAAAAATTCCATGCAATTAGTAACCACAATCAGGTGGGGTGGTTATCATTATATTAGACAGACAATAGACAATAATACATCTTAAGTCAAAACTGTCACAGGAGACACAGATTAAGAGCATCTAACAGTAGACTGTGCCCATTAACCAGGAATCTGCAACTGTTTATCTGTCTACATTTCAATCTAACATCAGGACTCCCAGATACATAAAGTGATATGGAGAGAAGTGAAGCAAGACGTACACAGTAACACAAGAAGTATCGACTCTAAGACCCCATTTTCAACACAGAACAGAAAATTACACAGAGCAGTAAGAAAGCCTGGGCAACACTACCAACCAAATAAACTTAACAGACATGTACAGAACTCTCCAGTCACATGAAGCGGAATATGCTGTATTCTCAACTGCACATAGTGCCTTCTGTTAGAACACAATGTCTCCTTAAGACTGAAGTCACACAACATGTTTTCTGACCAAAATGTAACTATACTAGAAATCAAAAGCAAAAGCGAAACCGGCAATGCCAAAAATTAAACACCCTTGAACATACATTCTTGCTCAATGGTCAGATAATTGTTTTGTTTTTTTTTTAAGATGCCAATACTGCCCACAATGATGTACACATTCAATGAAATCTCTATCAAACTGCCAATGGTACTTTTTGATTCTTTTAATCCTAAAATTAGTGTAAGAACAATAAGTGGCCAAAACTCTTTACAAAGAGGCATTATACTTTCTGATTTCAAAACATACAAAAAGCTATAAAAATAAAACAACGTGGTACTGACACAAAGACAGATAACTAATGATGAAACAGAACAGAGTCCAGAAATAAACCCTTGTGGATAAAACCAAATAATCTTCCATAAGGTTTCCATGATCACACAATGGAGAAAAGATTCCTTTCAACAAATGATGTTAAAAACTGGATATCTACATGGAAAAATGAATATTCTTCCTTGTACCATATTCAAAAATATTTTAAATGAAAAACATAAAAATAGAATATAAGTCTTAGAAGAAAACATAGATCAAACGCATAAGCGCAAAAAAAGAACAGAAAAACTGAACTACATCAAACTTCAAACTTTCTGCAAATCAAAGAACACAATGAGTGAAATGAAAATGCCACCCAAGAAATGGGAAAAAATACCTGCAAATCACAAACATGACAGTAGTTAATACTCAGAGTATGTAAGAAACTTTCACAACTCAAAAACAAAAATTAAGTAACTTGACTTAACAACAGATGAAGGACTGACTGAAATCTCTCCAGAAAAGATATGGAAACGGCTGACAAGCACTTGAACGAATGCCCAAATTACTCATTGTAGAGAAATGCAAAACAAAATTGCAGTGAAGGTATTCCTAACAGTTATTAGAATGGCCACTGTTAAAAAGATCCAAATCTGTCAAGGATGTGAAGACACTGAAAACCACGTGAAATGCTGGCAGGCTGCAAAGGATGCAGCCACAAAGACAGATAGCATTGGCCAGGCGCGCTGCTCACACCTGGAATCCCAGCACTTTGGGAGACAGAGGTGGGTGGATCACTGAAGCCCAGGAGTTCGAGACCATCCTGGACAACATGGCAAAACCCTATCTCTGGTAAAAATACAAAAGTTAACTGGGTGTGGTGGTGTGCACCTGTAGTTCCAGGTACTCGGCAGGCTGAAGGGGCAGGATCACTTGAGTTCATGGGGCAGAGGTTGCAGTGAGCTGGGAACCACTGCACTCCAGCCTGGGTGATAGAGTGAGACTCTGTTTGAAAAACAAAAACAAAAACATAAATGTTCCTCAAAAACTTAAACATGGAATTATATGATCCAGCAATCCTACTTCTGGGTCTCTATCAAAAGTATACAAAGCAACTCAGGACTTGGAAGAGATATTTACACACCCATGTTTATTGTGCTACTATTCAGAAAATTCAAATGGGGGAAGGCTCAAGCGATGAACACACACAAAGAAATGTGGCATATACATGTAGGGGAACACTATTCAACCATAAAAACACTCATACGGAATTACAAAACACTAAGAGAAGTGTTAGTCATAACATCTGCCATGAAACAGTGATGTACCATTAAAAAAGAATTTGCCTAGTAACTACAATACTCAACTGTGGCTGTGTAATCATGAAAAGCAGGTTATTTTGAATCACTCTTTGAATCACCGGCATGCAGTGTACAGCAGTAAAATTTCAGAGAAAATGCACGACAATCATTAATGAAAGACTCTACTGAGAACATTTTAATGTTCTAAGAAGACACTAAAGATAATTTTTATTATATGTTTACTATACTGGTGCTATTCTGCAAAGTAAAAATGCTGCCATACTTTCAGAAGCAAGGAATAACCTTACATTTCTAAAGAAAGAGTAAAATATAAATCATGTAAAATATGGTGGGAGTCACTGACATAAAAAATAAACATTTGGGAATAAATCATATTACCATTTATATACAGATTGGAAAAACAGGATAAAATGCTATGATTTCTTTTTGCCTGCAGTAATTTAATAAACATGGAGTGCTTACTAAATAATTTAATTCAGACAGAACATGCTAATTTCTAGCATACTGTTTTGAATATTAGAATTTGAAATTACAGATAAATGTGAAACAGAACAAAAGAGAAAGTGAAAATGACATAGAAAGGTGGTGAAATAGGTGGACCCAGGCTTATATTAACCCCCACAGCAACAAAAATGTGTCAGACTGCTGTGGATGGAAACGCCTTTCCCAGAGAGCCAGGCTCCACAGCTCATGCCTATAATCCCAACTACTCAGGACCTCAGGGGGAGAGGCTCACTTGAGGCCAGAAGTTCAGAACCAGCCTGGGTGATACAGAGAAACCTCATCTCAAAAAAATACCTGTAACGGAGCTTTGGAATCCAAGGAGGGGGTTGTAAAATTCTGCTAAAGACCAAGACTAAAGATCCATTGAAAATTATCAAAATTCCAGGGGCCTTTTTCACAGTAATAGAAAATATAATTCAAAAATTTATATGGAATTAAAATAAACTTGGCATAGCCAAAGCAATCTGTAGGAAAAAGAACAAGGCGAGAGGCATAATATTTTCTGAGTTCAAACTACGTTGTAAGACTACAGTTGTAAGAACAGGATGGTATGTGAACAGAGAAGAAAACTGACACAGAGACCAATGGAACAGAATGGAGAGCCCAGAATTAAACTCCTGCATATCAACTCAACTCATCTCTCACAAGTGTGACAAGAACATACAATATAGACAGTATAGTCTCTTCCACACTTGGTTCTGGGGAAACAGAATACCCACAGTCAAAATAGTGAAAAAAGTAATTTTTCTTACCCCATACTCAAAAAAATTAGCTTGAAATAAAGACTTAAATGTAAAACATGTACCCTTAAAAACTCTAAGAGAAAACCTCTTTGATACTGGTCTTGGCAATCATTTATGTATGACACCAAAAGTACAGAAACAAAAGTAAATATAAACAAGCTGGAGTGTATTCAACTAAAAGGCCTCTGCACACCAAAGACAATGTACAATCAACCTTTTTCATATTAGAATGGCAAATATCAAAAATAAGTCATATATTAGGTCTTTCCAAAAGTAATTGTGGTTTTTGCCTTTTAAACGGTAAAAAACACACTTAACTTTTCACCAGCCTAATAACAATGTTGACAAGGATGTAAAGCAAAAACAGTTCGGTAGTCATTATGAAAACCAGGAGGGAGGCTATTTCAAAATAAAAAAATGTAAACCCACCCTACAGTGCAGCAATCCCACTCTGTATGTATCACTGAAGGAAATAAAAGCAGTACCTGAAGAATTATCTGCTCACAGCTCACTGCAACATTATTCACAATTGTCAACATAGAAAAACAACCTAAATGTCTGTGGATGCTGAATGGATAAAGAAAATATGATATAAATAGACAACAGAATATTAGTCACAGAAAAGGAATGAAATCCTGTCATTCAACACCATGGATGACTGTGAAGGACATGATGCTGAATAATCTCAGCCAGGCCCAGAAACACAGGGACTGCATGTTCTCCCTCAGACGGGACATCTGCAATGGCTGAACTCACAGGAGCAGAGGACAATGGTAGTTGCCAGGGCCTGGAGTTGGGGAAAATGAGATATTGTTCAAAAGGTCCAAACTTTCAGTTGTAAGATGAGTTTTTGGGGAATCGAGTGAGTCGTGTTATGAATACTGTTAATAATGTTTTCTGTGCTTAAAATTTGCTGACAGTAGACCTTAAGTATTCTCTCTGCAAGAAAAGGTGATTATGTGAAGTAACAGATTTATTCCTTAATGTGATTGCACTAATTATTTCACAATGTATACACATATCCAATTATTACCCTGTCCACAATGTATACACAATTATTTCTAAAATAATCTGTTATACATATGCCCATATATATACACACACCTGTATATGTGTGTGTGTGTATATATGTGAATGGATAAAGAAAATATGATTTAAACAGACAATAGACTATTACTCCCCCATAAAAAATAATGAAATCCTGTCATTTCTATGTTGATATATGATATATACACATACATGATATATACACACACATATAAACATACACACACATACATACACACGAATGACACAGTCCTGATAAGCTTCATACTAAAAAAGAGGGAATTATAAAATGATAATCATAACTATTACAGTTGGGCATTGGGGAATATAGAGTTCAAATGACCAACCTCAGTTCATACTAAAAAAAACACAATTTTGAAGTAAAATAACCAGATTATCTCGTATTGGGGCAGATGTTTAGTGTTTGGAGAAAATGACTGCGTATAACTTTCAGTAGACCCCCATGTGAAACCTCTGTACAATACAAAATCGTAAAGCTGAAAACACACAACATCTGTTTGCGGGACTTGTGGAGTTTCTGAAGCAAACACCGTCACCGCCCCTCTCACACATTTCAGACCTGATGCAAAAGGAGAAATGAAGAAACATTTCACACAGAGTTCCTCAAAAATGTGCAGGGACATGCATGTTCTCAACAGCAGAGGCCAGGCCAGCAGTGAGACCACACAGGTCCTTACTCGGCAGGAGGAGGGCTCTGATGTTTATTGTGACCTGAAGGAAGATCGCTACCTGGGAAGCGGAATCTGGAGAAAATGTAAGAGAATAAGATAGAAGATGCTCCCAGGGGACAGCCAGAGAAGGAAACCCAGGCTCTCAGAACCCATCTCTGCCGGAGCGGAGCTTCCCAAGCCACATGTCAACGTCTGGCTTCCTCCGCGGCCCCTGGACCTTTCGCCTGGATTACCGGCTTCGTTAAGTCCCACCCACCTGGATGTCCGTCTACTGCCTCCCGTCTCTTCAGATTCCATGGTGCTTTTCTTTGCTCCAGGCAGGTGATCAGGCCTGGCTTAGAGACAGTCAGACCTGTTTTATTAGAAAAAAAGTGACATTATGCTGAAATTCACCAATTACCAACCTTGTACTATGCTTAGCAGAGTGAACACTGTAAGAGATTCTAGAAAAGTAATCCAAAAATGATTCCTGACATAACCTTTAGAATATTCAGTAAGCATTTTAAATCCGTGGGTTCTTAGTTTCACCACTCAGTACTGCTGAATCAAAACTCGGTGGTGGAAATTTGATTTTAACATGCGGGCAACAATATTTCATGCCACTACATTTCTGGAATTACCACTAGAGTCAAAGATACAGATCAGCTGAAAAAAAGGTTTATGGCAAGATGAACCACATTTTGATGATTTTTTTTTTTTAACGTCAACAAATCCCCATGGTTTTCTTAAAAGCAGGGATCTGAAACTCATTCATGCAACGCAGAAACTCCCAAAAAAACATTCTGCAAAGGAACGAAAGCAACTCTTTAGGGCATATGAGGAGTTACGTAGTGAAGTCATCCTCACCAATGGAGAACAAGTTTCTGTAGTTCTCTAACATCACATCTCTGTACAAATTCTGCTGTGCAGGGTCCAGGAATTTCCACTCCTCCAGGGAGAATTCTATGGCCACATCCCTGAATGTCAACACTTTCTGAAGAAGAAACAACAACAACAGCAAACACTTACCAAGTGGCTTTGGGCAGAGTTCTTAACTTGACTCCAGGTGAAATGAGCGTGTGAAGAGAACTGGTTCTGACTTATACAAGTGGTGGGAATTATACAGTAAGGTAATTTTTAGCACAAGAATTTTCTCTAACATTCTCTCTAGCTCTGAGGAAACAGAATTGCGTAAGATCCACACAAGCAGTGTACACGGAGTACTCTCCTGGATGATAAAGTGTAAAATCAAGGGCATCAACAACGGCATGTCCATTTTTGAGTGCCACGTTTACTTCATATGAATAAGGCATGTCTATTTCTCAGACAGGAAAGTCATGGAGAGTCAGAAGTTACCTCTTAAATTTAATGTGGCCAATAAACTAGAGGTCTTGTGCAGATTCTGCTTCAGGACATCTTAGATCAAGCCTGAGTTTCTGAATTTCTAACATGCTCACCAGTGATGCCAGCTCTTTGGGTCCAAAGCCAATATTGTGTCAAACATCCTGTAAGAGGCAGAGCCTGAGTTTATCCCAGTTTTTATGAACCACAAACAGAGATGAGATTCTTTATCTTCTAAAGCAAGGCATATGCAAAAAGAATCTAAGAAGCGAAGACCTTTCAGATTAAATGTGATTATTTACACACATTAATCAGTAAATCTCCTCAACGTACTTAACAAAAAAGAGAAAAAATAATTAAAATCTACAATGGAAAAATCTGTCAGAGAGCTCTTTAACCAACTGAATAAAATGAACATCAACTGTAATAGGACAGATTTTTATCATGTGCCAATGCACAGAGAAGACATAGTACTGGTGTGATGCTGGCCAAAAAGTAAATTATAATCTGAACCTAATCATAGAGAAAAATCAGTTTTATGTAAAGTTGAAGAGACAAGTCTCTCCATGTTCTGTAATCCCTTTCCTTTTTTTCTTGACACGGAGTCTCGCTCTTGTCACAGAGGTTGGAGTGCAGTGGCATGATCTCGGCTCACCGCTACCTCAGCCTCCCTGGTTCAGGCAATTCTCATCCCTCAGCCTCCTGAGTAGCTGGAACTACCGGCATGTGCTACCACGCCCAGCTAATTTTTGTATTTTTTTTTTTTTTTTTTAGAAGAGCCAGGGGTTTTACCATGTCACCATGTTAGCCAGGCAGGTCTCGAACTCCTGGCCTCAAGTGATCCACCCGCCTCAACCTCCCAAAGTACTGGGATTACAGGCGTGAGCCACTGTGCCCAGGAGTAACCTCTAATTGTGTAATAAAACAGTCTTTCTTTAGCACTCTAAAAAACAAGTGTCTTTTCATTTTTCTCTTTTCCAGAATGTTCTGCGTTATTCTGGGCAATAAATGCCATCTGGTTTAAATGTTTATTTTCTTAACCCTGTTCTGCATACAACTGATGGAGCATCCAGATGAAACCTAAACGGTGCATGTTTCCCTTCTTCACTAACATCCAAAAACCACTCCCCATCCTCAGAAGAATCTTGTGTATCCACACCTTCCCATGGTTCAGTGCCACAAAGTGAACATTTTTAATACTGCAGGTCATAAAGTCATGGCGAGAATTCTTCATGGCATATAAGAAGCCAAGGTGAAGATAACACAGAGAAGGCTTTGGTATATAGAAAAGAAATATTTTCAGCAACTTTCATTATTATAAGAAAAAAAAAGTAGTTGAAACAAACGTATCATACAGAAACACCGCAATCAGAAAAGTAAAGGCTTCCAAATTCTAACACATGACATTTCAGGAGCAAAAGCAGACACAACCCCTGACCTGAGATGCATTTACCTGAGCACCAGCCATTTCTTTCTCTTTCTCCTGCTTCTCTGGAGTTTCCTCTTAGGTAAGATTCTCTGGACAAATCACAGCTGCGTCGTGAGAATATGCCTTTAAGGTGTCAGCACAACCCTTTCACCTGCCACCACCACACCCATCAACAGAAAGACCTAGAAACACAGGAAAAGTCCACGCTTTTCTGTTCTTTATTGAAGAGATTCAGGAACAGTAAACTTCTACCTGGACGTCTAAATACGGATTTCTCTTCCTGCTCTCAGGTACCCTCCCTGCCACAAACAGCAGCAATTCTGCTACAGCGACAGGAATGTAAGCTGCACTGAACCGCCCCTCTGAAACCTAAGCAGAGAAGGCCCTGTGACCTCCCTTTGGAATCAAGGCTGAACTCAACTCTCACAAAAGCATCTGAATCTCCTCGTAACTGACTGGTCACACCTCAGAATCCTGAGGCGTGTGACTCAAAGAGCACTGGTGCTTCCGCCCAAACCAACAGAATCTGCAGGCAGGGCATGTTTTCGAGTTGCCCATGTGATTTAATCAGAAGCTGGCTGGGAACCATGTAGCTAAGCCCAGTTTCTCAAGCTTCAATGTGCATAGAAACCATTTGGTAATTTTGGTCCCACTCTGGATCCTGTGCTTCTGAAGATTACAAAGGGCTCATGGGCTGGATTTGTTAACAGTTCTGCCATGGACGGTGACGCAGCTCGCCCGGGACCTGTGATCGTTTGCGCTCAGCTAAAGGAAGCGACCCTTGCGCAGGCCCTGACACCCAGCCCTCTTACCACGGCACAAGTTCTTTCTGGTGCAAATAGAAACGGCCCATCTCCAGCCTGAAAGATTACGTTATTTTATGGCTCTTTACAGTTTTCCAGGGCTGGAGAAGGAAGCAATGTCTGAATCTGTCTCCATCTGAAAGCTGCACACACATATGAATGCAGTGTCCATGAAGCAGGCACTGCGTGCTCCGAACATGCGCCAGAGCACTGCGCTGGGCGCCTCACGTCATGTGAGTTAATGCCCGTCACAGCCTGGGTGATGGCACCAAGTGTCCCGCAACTGTCAAGATATAGACCAACGGCCCAGGCTTTGCATTTCTTTTTGTTTTTCTACCGTTGACTTTTCAAAAGTGTATAAAGCTCCATGTGGACCAACGGAGTGGACGCACAGAGGGAGAAGTCTAGTGCAGAGGCATTTTCCATTGCCGTGTTTACATTCACTTTCCTGTGGCTTGTGAAGCAGCTATTAGGCCCACAGGACTGAGAAACAGGTTGCTGTATGAGCTATCTCCAAAAGCACTGGTGTTAGTAAAAAAAAAAAAAAAAAATTAAGGCCCAAAACAGACAGTGCTTTGATCCCATTTATCTGCTTTGGGGTTTCAGAAAATTATCAATATCAGTTCTGGAGAGGCAACAGGAGTCACCACCCAAATCTCTGATTTAACTCTCTAGCTAACTCTATCGGAGGAGATTCCAGGGTGAGGCCAGACCTGAGTGAGGCTACAGGAGAGGCAGTCTGGGCATGTCTGTGCAGGGAGAGGGCGCTATGCAGATTCTGATCTCTGTGCTACTAAGTATTTACAATTCTGTTTTTCCTAAAATTGCCCCCCAAAAATTTAAATCTCAGGGTTTGTAGAATCTTAATCTATGTAACCCACTTCCCTGTCTATTTTATCACATAAAATAACAAGTAATTTAACCAAAACCTTTAGAATTTTCTAGGACATATATGTTAGAAGCTAATATTTATTTTTAGCAGGGCAAAAGCAACAGAAATAATGATACCACCACCACCTTTTCTGTCTATGGATATCCCTTCAACTGGTGACATCAGAACTCACAGCAACCACTGGAGGAAAATGGTCCAAATGAAGCCTCAGCCCCTTTGACCACTTCCTTCTTTGTGCTAACCCCCTGAGGCTAAATTCAGTTGTTCACCCAGTTACTGGAAACAGAAAGCCTCTGGTCTGCAGGCCGTGACTGCTTGCCTTGCCTTTCTAATGCTACACAAGACGGAATCAATTCGTTCACCAGTTTCAAACTCCAGGTCTCATTTTTGTGTTTTACTCAAGTATCAGAAAACTGGAGTAATTCCCATCTGGATACCAAGGAGGTTTCTTCTCTGAGGGGACGAGCACACCCTGGGTGACTCATTCCTCTTATTCTAAGACAGAAGCACAGACAGCTCATTTTGTCATCCCGCGCCCGGTCTGCACGCGCACCTGCAGACGGATGTCCGAAAGACTCCAGGCGCGGGTGACAGAGCTCCCGTGACCCTGCATGGACGCCCTCTGCAAATCTATGGCGATCCAGGCAGGAGAGATGCAGGCGGATTCTGAGTAGAAAATGGAAAAATTGGGGAGTGAATTTTCTTCGGATATTAAATATAAATATCTCAGTATGAACAACTTTAATATACTAGTCATGATGTAGGTAGTATTTAAAAACTTTGTAACTTTAATTCAGTTACAACACTTTATATTTCAAAAGAATAACATTGATATTAAAATTACTGGGGCCGGGCGCGGTGGCTCAAGCCTGTAATCCCAGCACTTTGGGAGGCCGAGGTGGGTGGATCACGAGGTCAAGAGATCGAGACCATCCTGGTCAACACGGTGAAACCCCGTCTCTACTAAAAATACAAAAAATTAGCTGGGCATGGTGGCGCGTGCCTGTAATCCCAGCTACTCAGGAGGCTGAGGCAGGAGAATTGCCTGAACCCAGGAGGCGGAGGTTGCGGTGAGTCGAGATCACGCCATTGCACTCCAGCCTGGATAACATGAGTGAAACTCTGTCTCAAAAAAAAAAAAAAAAAAAAAATTACTATTTAAGGGTTTTTTCCCAAAATAAATAGTTTGCCTTTATATTCACGTTATTGTAGAAAATATTGTTTAATTTAAATGGATGCAAGTTGTCTACTAAAAACGGTATATAACTCTGCTAGCTGTTCCTAAGTCATGAATAGAAAAGAAGGTGTAGCCGCAAACTCCCCGGTTTGGCTGACACGCTCGGCTACCCTTGCTCTGGCGGTGTGAGCCCCTCAGCCTCAACCTGCAGTGGTCACTGCAGATGACCAGCCTCTGTCCAAGGCTCTGGCATCCTGCACCCTGCATCCCTCCGCATCGCTGAACTTTGTCCTCAGCTTTGCGCTCCACTGCCGTGTACTCTTCATTCTAAGCAAATCAGTGTCTACTTTAAAAGACTGAAAATGGAAAAAAACAAATATCTGCCAAGTAATGGTTCTCAGGCCCTAAACAAAGACAATCCTGAATTAAAAGAATGACAAAAGACTTGGCTGTTTAAGTGACTCAGGTGTATTTCAAAAGAGCAGAGAAAAAACTTGCAGATGAAAGTGCCCTAAAGTAAATCTTTTCAGAATTGGGAGAAGAAAAAAACCTTTTCCTTATTTTCGAGTGAGAGAATTAAGCCTCTTATTTCTAACTGGTATTTGTTCTCGCAACAACGAGGTCCAGGGCCATGGTCCTGAAACTCTGAACATCTGAATTCCGGCAAGCACTAGATTCACGCACCGAAGGGGTGGGCCGGCCTTGGGCACAGCAGGTGCACACAAAAGGTGTTTGTGGGCAAAACAAATCAAGAGAGACAAAGGCGCTCTCCAGGATCCAGGGTGGCAAAGAGTGCCAAGTCAGCGGCCCGGGTGGGGCTGTGACCCGACGTAGCGCTGTGTCCCTGTAGGCCGAAGAGAGTACCACTGGGGGGTCCCGAGTTGGTGGCAGATGTAGGCTCCTGCAGCAGATTCCGTTTCTGGAGCTGAGGATACACCAGGGGTCCTGAAGGCACTTGGGTGGGTTTTGGGTGGGAAATTCTAACTCCAAAGGTGCTGTACTCAAATTCCTGAAGGGGATGCCTAGTCTTTGAAGGGGTGTGGGCAAGTCAGCGTTCCTGAGTGGCTGGGAATCGTGATGACAGCTGGGGAGGAGGCTGTCTGTTCTAAGCACCTCTTCCCTCCAAGTTCTCAGTCCCCTCTCACCCTCAGGGACCCAGAATCACAGGACAAGGTGCAACGTGATGGCCTGTGTGCAGAACATGGCCTTGCTTTCCCAGACACCCAGAGTCTCCCTCCAACCCAGGCCCAAGACCTGCCTTTCTCCTGACGCGAAAAGTGTGGTGTTTGCTGAACCCCAACCAGTTCTTCGACACCAACTGACTGCTTAACTTTTTCTTTTCTTTTGAGACAGAGTCTCGCTCTGTCGCCCAGGCTGGAGTACAGTGTTGCGAACTCGGGTCACAGCAACCTCCACCTCCCAGGCTCAAGCGATTCTTGTGTCTCAGCCTCTCGAGTAGCTGGGATTACAGTGGTGTGTTTTTAGTAGAAATGGGGTGTCACCAAGTTAGTCAGGTTGGTCTCCAACTCCTGGCCTCAAAGGGCTAGGATTACAGACATGAGCCACCACGCCCGGTCAAGTGTGCAGTATTTTAATTCTGACACCATTTAGAGCCAGCTCAGATCCCACAAGTTCAGGACTCAGTCCCACAACACTGCCCTACCACGGATGCCAGTCACAAGCCTGGGATAACCATTTATACTTCTGACCTACTGTCTATAAACTGGGTACTCCCATAACCTCCTGCTGAGTTCAGCAATTCGATAAAACTACTCAAAGAACCAGCAAAACACTGTGCTTGCATTTACTGGTTTACTAAAAAAGATACATACCAGTAATGGCCCGGAAGAGCTGCAGAGAGCAGGGGAACGCCGTGAGGAGGAGGAGTGCCTAACGGATTCTGGTCAAGAGCCCTGAGGAACAGAACTGCTCCTTCCTTGTGTTCTCCAGGGACAGCTGAATCAAGAGAAACCCCTTTCTATGAAGACTCAAATGACGCTCCCTTTGTTACCTACCACATAGCCAGATACAGAGACCTGAAAATTCCCATTTTTTTCCTAATCAACAATCGGCTGAACAATTCTGTCTTCAGTGGTCATAACAAAATACTTCTCTATCGAAATCTGCTAAAATCTCTCTCCTTCCCCCAAGTCCCTCAATTTTGACCTACCCTCAGTCTGAGCCAACATACAACCCCTCTTCTTGCCCCTCCCAAGAACACGCTGATTTCAGAGTAAAACATTCTATGATCTAGAATCTGGTTTTCCCACCCTCTATCCTGTCCTCCCTTCTCCCTATAAAAACACAAAAAAGCCCTAGTCTGCCTAACTTTGGAGCTCTTCAAAGGCCTGATAGATGGTACCTTCTCCCACTTGCAATCCTCCTTTAGAGTTCAATAACTTCCAACCTAAAGCTCCATTTATTTTATTTGATGAAGTCTAGAAACAGCCCCAGGATAACAACAATCCCACACCCAGGAAGACCTCCCCAACTCCCATCCCAACTCCAGCTGCATCTGCCTGTGGTCCCCAAGGCCCCCAAGCTCTGCAGCTTCTCTCTGTAGAAAGGCTCCATCCACGGTTGCTGTGAGCAGGCTGGGGCACCCACAGGGGAGGCTCCTTGGGAGGCACGAGCTAGGCCTGGGGTGTCTAATCTTCGGCATCCCTGGGCCACAGGGGAAGAACTGTCTTGGGCCACACATAAAATACACTAACACCAATGACAGCCGATGAACTGAAAACAAATCACACAAAAAAATCTCATAATGTTTTCAGAAAGTTTATGAATTTGTGTTGGGCCACATTCAAAGCCCAGGGCGGCATGCAGCCCAGGACTGCGGGCCGGACAAGATTGAGCCAGGCCTTCAGTTGCCTTCTTTTGCAGGCTCAATACTGGCCTTAGCTTGTAGTCACTGTTCTTGGGCTTCAACTTCCCAATCAGGGTTATCCACTTAGTTTTAAGTAAAAAAATACCCAGTGTTGAAAACATCCAACAAAATCACTCAGTTTACAGAAGAAAAGGAAACTGTAGGGCGCTCACACTTTTCACATCAACAGAAAAAGCAAAAGTGTTTATTGCTTTCAAACAATGAACTTATTCTTTCCATAACAAATCAAACAGTAAACAATCCCTGTGAACACTTTTAGAAGTGCTAAGTTCATCTCCTACAACTTGGCATAAACTCCGAAATCTGGAGAAAGGATATAAAGCAGAGATATTCACTATAACAAATTCACCCTGCAAAAGGAGGAGCTAATGTTTTGATGAATGTATGTAATTCACCAAGTAGTCTACCATAATTGTTTGTAGAAAATGTAAACATTCTCCACAGCTATCAAAGAAGCATTTTATTTTCCCTGGTAGCATTCCCAAAGCTAAGCCCTAGGATTCTGCTGGAAATCATTTCCCAAAAAAGAACAGACCCAGGTAACTTTCTACATTTAATCACTCTGTAGAAGAGAAAGCTACACATGACTAGATATTTAACTTTTTTTTCCTGAAATGGACCTACTTCATGTCCTTTGTAAGTATTTTCTTACCTTTCGGGCTCTACTGATAAAATGCAAATTTACGATTAAAAAACCAAAGTTGCAGTAAGTGAACAAATTATGTCAAGGTGACAAGACGGACAGTGGCAGTGCTGACTGCAACAGGCGTGTCTAATGACTTGTGCCACGTCAGGCTATTCTGTTGTTGGGGAGATCCTCCCAGCTGCATCCTGTTCACTAAAGAGCTCAATGACCCTTCCCATGTACACTACACTGTGCCCCACTGAGTAGCCCAGGTGAATTCTGCTTTACAGGTTTTTGCACCACCTCATGAGGGTGGGTTTTTCTTGTCCTTTGAAACACTTTGTCTCCCTTCACAAATCTGAGAGAGTCCAAAGGACAGAAATGATTTCAGTCTTTTCCCCCTGACAGCAACATCTGATTGGCTGATCAGCAATGTGTCTCCAAGGATTGAAAGTTGGGTCGGGTGAAGACCATCTTAATGTCCCATCCAAGTGGTTACCTCTTTAGAGGAAGAGTGGACCAGACTTCTCTCAACCCAGGGAATCCAGCTGCTCCCTGGAGAGGCCACATTTCATACCTCAGGCTGTCCTCTGAGAAGAAATAACCCAGGGGCTGAAATCCACCAGATGCTCCAGCAGACAAGGCCATGGTGGGCATCTTTTGTTAGCCCCGGACAATACGGAAACCGAAGGAAAAGTCCAGAGGGTGCCGGAGAACAAATCACCCTGTAAAGCTTCGAAAGTGGAACCTCAAACCAAAGACATTCTGATAAGGTGTCTGTGCCAAGGAAAATAAAAAGGAGGAGAGAGAGGCACAAAGATTTTTTTACAACAGTGCCAGGGGATGATTCTCCGCTTTCCTGTCACGTAGAATGATTACAAACAGAAATGTCTTAAAAAGTGCCATCCAGGCAGGGCTCACGCCTGTAATTCAGTGTGAGCACTTTGGGAGGCCATCGAGGTAGATCACATGAGGTCAGGAGTTCAAGACCATCCTGGCCAACATGGCAAAACCCCGTCTCTACTAAAAATACAAAAATTAGCCAGGTGTGGTAGCACATGCCTGTAATCCCTAGCTACTTGGGAGGCTGAGGCATGAGAATCACTTGAGCCCAGGAGGCAAAGGTTGCTGTGAGCTGAGATAGCACCACTGCACTCCAGTCTGGGTGATGGAGTAAGACTCCATCTCAAAAAAGGGAAAAAAAAAAGTGCCATTCAATGCATTGTGAAAAAAAATGATTCATTAAAATACTGTGCCTAAAATTACAGCCAAGGATGAATAGTCGATAATGTTGTGAATTAGAAAGGGGAAATTAGCATTTGGAAACGTCTGGAACAAACAGGAAATTTAGGATTTTACTGCAGGCCAGAATTAGGCCTGAAGAACGTGGTGGTGGTTTTGAGACCCCGCTTGAAATACATCTGGGAAGTGCAGGGAAAAACCAGGTTTCTGTTTAGTGTTAAAATAATTAAACAGCAGGCAATCCAACTTAAGTGGCTCTAGTGCTGTGGGTTCTTAAGCAAAAAAAAAAAAAAATGTAACTCAGATGCGTTTCTTGCAAACGACTCTCTTGCAGAAACAAAACTGAGGCTTCATCAACCACGAACCTCGCATTGACCTCTGATTACATGACCAGACACTTTCAACCTAGAAAGCTCAAATCCAGAGACGACATAGCTGTACCCAACCAACGAATGAATGTGGCTTGCTTCCTGATGCACCTGAGGAAAGCCTTTCCTTGAGGGCCGGCTACACCCAAAAAGTATGGTTGGGTCCTCTGCCATTCAGGACCCTCTCTTCGCTCAAACAAAACCCCTACGCATTTCTGCAGGGACTCCCTCGGGAGAAAGGCGGGACGGGGCCCCCACAGGTCATCCTGCTATGCACAAACCACCCGCGGAGCCGGGATGCGCCCTTCCTGACTCGGGGAGACGCGGGTCTGCGGGCGAAGAGCTGCCGCGGGAGACGGGCCTGAGCTCGGGCAAAGCCGCTCCGCAAGGATGCGCCGGGAGGCCGCCATGCTGCGGCCGGAGGGGCCTCGGGTCCGCGGGGCCCGGAACCCGCCCGGGCGGCCCGGCTCCTCCGCCGCCGGCACCGCGGGCTGCAGCCCGCCCCCGCCCGTGTCTCAGGAGGCCTGGCCGCCACACTCACCATCTCCTGGCTGCCAGGGAGCCCGCGTCTCACTTCTGGCGCTCCCGGTGCATCCGGGTCACAGGGCCAACGGCGGGGACAGGAAGTGGAGCTCGGGCCGGACAAAGGCCCCGCCAGATCCCGGAAGCCGTCCTCTCCCCGCCACACGCGTGCCTGATTGGCCCGTCCCCGCCCCCGCGCCTCTGATTGGATAGGGCCTCACGCCCCGCCCCCTGAGGCCCTGAGTGACAGGAGCTGTAATCGGACAAAGGGCCGAATGAGAGCAATGACAGGTGCCAGCTGCGGCCTTTCGGGGCACGGCTTCCTACCTGCGCCGTCCGGCCGCACCGAGAGGATACTTGCATTTCACCCTGTGACTGTGGCTGGGTTCGTTTATAAAAATAAATGTGTGTTATTCACCCATGGAAAGAAAATAATGACAGTCATTTCAAATGTTCATATTGTATGGCCTTCCTGGCTTTTGGTTCTTTGAACAGACAGCCTGAAATTTCAAACCTCTAAGAATTAGAATGTGAGCCACGTGTGAATTTTAAATTTTCTAGAAGCCACAGTTTAAAATGTACTAAGAAACGGGTGAAATTGAGTGTAATAATTTAGCCCCGTATGTAACCATTTTCCTGTATGGTCAATATATAATTGGTAAGGAAGCATGTATTTTGGGGTACGAAATATTTGAGGCTTACTCTGTATTTTACCTTTTCAGCACATTTCAGTGCAGACCAGCTGCGTTCCCGATACTCAATAGCCACACATGATCAATAGCTGCCACACTGAAGTGCAGCTCTGAGGGGTCTAACCTCCCTTATGTCAGGGGGTGAAGGTTCTGAACGTCCCTTTTCAGCCAGAGGTGAGGGAACAGCCTCTCGCTACAAACATCTCTCCTCTGGTCGGAGGGTGGATGAGATGGTGACCCTAGAGAGCTTAGGGGAGAGCAAAGCAAAATATCCGCGGGTGGAGGACGGCTGCCCACCGATAATGGGGCCCCAAGAGGAGAGAACACATCTTCGGGTCTGTCCACAGCGTAACCTCCAACATTTAGATATGGAGGAAATGGACTAAAGGCAGGCTTACCTTGCTGTCTGGCCTCAGCCCTAAGGATCAAGCTGCGGTTGTCTGTTTCTTCCTGCGGCTGGAGGTGGTGGCTGTGTCTGTAAAAGCACCGATCACGTATATACATGTGTACATGCATTTCTTTATGATGGAACATTATTTTTCAAAAGATCCAACTTTAAGTGTTGGGTGGGGGCGGAATTAGTACCGATAAAGTGTTTTCTTCTCGCAGGTAACTGGGAAGCAGGCTTTCATTGAATCCTGGCAGCCTATCCGCCCTGGGTGCAGGTATTAGTCAGCTATTGCATAACAAACCACCTAAAACTTAACATCTCGCAATTGAGTTCATCAGCCATTTAGGCTGAACTCAACTGAGCTATTCTTGTCACAGCTGGACTCCTTCATGTATGTATGGTCAGCTGCCCGTTGACTAGGTGGCTCTGCTTCTGGGGATGAGATGGCCACCAACAGTGGCACCCTCCTTCTCCTCCCCATGGTGTGTCTCCTCCAGCTGGCTCACATGGCTTGATCTCATAAAGATGGAAAGGTTCTAAGGAAAACAGAAGCATTTAAGACCTTCTGAGCCTAGCCCAAACTAGCACATAAGCTGTCATGTTCACAGTTGATATGGCCTGGGTGTGTCCCCACCCAAATCTCTACTTGAATGGTATCGCCCAGAATCCCCATGTGTTGTAGGAGGGGCCCAGGGGGAGGTAAGGGAATCATAGGCGCTGGTCTTTCTCCTGCTCTTCTCGTGATAGTGAGTAAGTCTCACGAGATCTGATGGGCTTATCAGGGGTTTCTGCTTTTGCGTCTTCCTCATTTTGTTCTTGCCGTCGCCACGTTAAGAAGTGGCTTTCATCTCCAGCCATGATCCTGAGGCCTCTCCAGCCACGCGGAACTGTAAGTCCAATCAAACCTTTTTTGTTCCCAGTTTGCGGAATGTCTTTATCGGCAGTGTGAAAACGAACGAATACAACAGTTTTCTATAGGCCGGAGCAAATAGTGCCAGCCAGATGCAAGGTTTGGGAAACACATTCTGCCTCTTCATGGGAGAAGCTCACAATAAAGAGCACGGATGTAGCGAGAAATGAAGAATTGCTGCTGTTCCTGCAATCAGTATTATTCTGCCCTTTCTTGCAGAAGAGGTTTATATTACTGCTTCAAGTCAAGAACCTTGCCCTAGGCCGAGTGCAGTGGCTCATACCTGTCATCCCAGCACTTTGGGAGGCCGAGGTGAGCGGATCACCTGAAGTCAAGAGTTGGAGACCAGCCTGACCAACATGGTGAAACCCCGTTTCTGCTAAAAATACAAAAATTAGCCAGGCAGGGTGGTGCATGCCTGTAATCGTAGCTGCTTGGGAGGCTGAGGCAGAAGAATTGCTTAAACCTGGGAGGCAGAGGTTGCAGTGAGCCAAGATGGTGCCACTGTACTCCAGCCTGGGTGACACAGCAAAACTTCACCTCAAAAACAAACAAACAAACAAAAAAACAAAACCCTTGCCCAAAGCCCCACAGTTACTAAGCAGCTGGGCTGGAACTCGGGATCAACCCTGCCTGGCTGAAAGCCCTTACTGCTGCATAGCATGCACTGTTCATGCAGCTTCTGTAGGCCTGCGAGGTTCTGGAGAGTGATCTTCTGCAATAGAAGCAGAATTCCTTTTAGATTTGGGCCCATGTGGTGCTGTTTACCATTGGGAATATTCAGTTACCTCAAGAAATTGCAGAAGCTTCTTGGAAGGATATGGAATAATCTGGGGGAAATGGCTGATAGATGACATTAGGAAATCAAAGCCCAAAAACACAGAAGCAATTTAAAAACAGAATGTATCCTGTATGTCTGTAAATGCTTTCATACTTTTTGGTATTTGTAGGCTGTTTATAATTTTCAACAGTAACTAAAAGTACTGTGTCTGAAACAACCTCTTACTCTGAAATGAAATGACTTAAAGATATATCTACTGAGAAGACTTTTTTTTTCTGCAGCAATTTATCGAAACAGCTGAGTATATTTTGAAGCTGTCCTTTGATTTTTCACAGGGAAGAGCTATTTTTCAAGCCCCGAAACCCAGGAGCAGCCATGGGGCAAATCCCATCAGTGCACATGGAAACCAGACACAGTGAATGCATGCATTATCCTGAATGGATTGTTTGCACCCCTGCCGCACGTAAAATCACCTGGAGGTGGGGGGTACTTAGGATTTCCCATGCCCAAATTGCCGCAGACCAGTTAAATGAGAATCCCTGGAGTGGGGAATGGAAAAATTGTGGCTTAAGCTCTCCAGGGAATTAGAGTGTGGCTGAGACTCCAAACCACTGCTTTATTTTATTATTTTTTCTTTTGCTTTACACTCAGGGGTACAAGGTGCAGGTTTGCTGTATTGGTAAACTCGTGTCACCGCGGTTTGCTGTACACATTATTTCATACGCAGGTATTTGTTCTCTGCTGATAACCCCAATACCATGAATCACGTCTGGTAATAATAAGCATTTCCTAATATTTGTACAATAACGATTTGGCAGTCTTGGAGGGCAGAAAGAGGGTGGGAAGATTTTAAAACAACATCATTGTTTTTAAAGGAACAATGTCCTACAATACCAAATTCTCTTGTATGTTTAGGAAAATTTAGGGTTGTTTTCTAAAACATGCTGACATCATGGGAAATAAGATGCGGAATTTGCACGAACGTTTAAGGCAAAGTCTGAGGTTTCCAAGCGATGTTATGCTGGAGAGGCTGCGTGCTCCAAGCTCGCCATGCCTGGGGAGGACAGCACTTATCCGCCCTCTGTGGAGCCTGTGAGGGGAGGAGCCCTGGGGAGCCCCGAGCCTCAGACTTTTAGCATGGAGGGTTCAAGATCTCATAGTTTGGGCTCATGGTGCAGGCAGGCCATGGGTCTCTGGCTCCCTATGACTTTTACTCTGCTTGCCAAGAAAATGTGACCCTCCAAAGCAAGAAACTCAAGGTTGTGGTTCACGCCAGCCGTGGCATCTGCCCAGACCCTGAGAAGGAAGGAAGAGTGATTCTCCAGCTCCCTCATAAGGCTGGGTGACACAGGCCAGTCAAGAACTTTGCCCTAGGCCACAGTGGCTCACACCTGTAATCCCAGCACTTTGGGAGGCTGAGGTGGGTGGATCACCTGAGGTCAGCAGTTCAAGACCAGCCTGACCAACATGGTGAAACCCCATCTCTACTAAAAATACAAAAATTAGCCCCCAGTTAGTTGGTGTCTTCTTTTCCAACCAAGACACCCCAAATCTGGAGCTCCTCATGCAGGCAGCAGCAGACAAACGGAATGCAATCCGTTGTTGTCCCTGATTTGTTTTCTTGTTTCTCAGGGGTTCTTTCTATGGTAAAGGTATTGGCTCTCCATTGGTAGCATGAATAGAATATCTCCTGTTTACAGTAACTCTGTGTCATAATAAATAGTGATGAGATTTACAGTCGTGGTTTTCAGCTGCCAGTGGAGAGTTTGGGCACAGTCTGCCATCGGGCAGAAGAAGGCATTTGGAAAGTTTAGCTGAGGACAGACCCAGTGACGGTGATGGCCAGTGGCAGTCTGTCCTGGTCACCGGACCCTTGGGTGCTGGCCCTGCTGGGCACTCCCCACCCATCACTCCGGATGCTGCCAAGCCCTCTGGGTACAGTGGGCACATCCCCCAGGAGAGACGTGATGAACTTTGTCTGTGGAAATGCACAGATTCCTTGGACATGCCT